AAAAAAAAAAAAAAAAAAATAGAGGTAATAGGAGTATGAGGTAAAAAAAAAAAACAAAACCATGACCTCCGATAAGGTTTTTTGTGGATAAACACACAGTTGTACCCTTTGGTTTTTAAAAAAATCAACTATGTAAGTATAACATGGGGAGAACCTGCGTATTGGTCAATCACTGAAGAGGTTTTAGTTGACTTTAAATTTCATGTGAGTCAACATTATCTTTCCTGCCTCATTTAATTTAACTGAAATGTATCCAAATGAAACTTTTTCCTTTAAAGTTGATAAAATGTCAATATTATCTACTTCACAACTGTTTAAATCTTGTCACTGTAGAAACTCTTGCGATTATGTGACTTTTTTTGTATGAATTGAACAGTTTGTCAAAGGATTTTTATAAGTTATAGACATAATTTCTAGAAAGATGCTGTAAAGATCATAAGCATGACATGAAAGTATGCATATAGATTTCAAAATGGTGTGTTTTTTTTAATGTGTTCAACCTTGTCATTTATTTGTATCATGTTTCAATGTATTTTTTTTTTTTTTGGTATGTTTTTAAAGCCCTTTATGAGCATCCACTTTTTTAAAATATTCTGTGCAGTTTCATTTAGTGCCCAGTTAATCTCGTGGAATGGTGGTGTTATCCTCATTATGCCCTCATACATGAATTATACATGTCTACTTGTGTATGTTTATAGTTTAAATGCCCTTTAAAAATGGATTATGCTGTTCTCCCTCGTTGCTGATATATCTTAAATTCTGTTTAGTATTTTTGAAGAGAAGTTACTTAACATTTTAATCAGATTCAGAAATGTACCTAGAGGGTTTTTAAAACTAGTTTTTAAGGTCAGTTGAATTAGCCAATATCACATTGCTTAAATATATCCTGAAAAGCATGTCCAAGGATTCCTTAAGTGTCGTAAACTTTGTCACTACCTGAACTGAGTTTGAAGAGTCATTTTGATTTTCAGGGCATTTGATTTTCCTTCTCTAGAGGAGGATCCCGTGTGGTTGACTAGTGGCTAGAGGTTCATGTTTGCACATTAAACTCCCTGCAGCCTCCCCAAAATGCAGTTCCCTGTCCTCAGCCCAAGGGAGCCAATGCGGAAGAAAATGATGTTGGAGCTGGCACTTGTGTTGCACTTGACTGTGTAGACCCAAAGGGTTGAACAGCGGCCCACATGCACACTGAGCGATGAGAGTTTCTGTGAACATCACAGTAGACATCTTTATGCCAAGGTGTACATTAAAGCTACTGTCCCTAGGTCCCCAGTCTGCTGACTGTAACTTGAATCACTAATTTCCTAAATTGTCTACTTTCTGTAGCTTGGATTGCTAATTTCCTAAAGTTTTCTAGTAGTTGAGTCCTTTACGTAGATGACAGCCCTTAGATTTGCCCCACGTGTCACCTAAGTGGGTGTCATCAATTTGTGTGAACATTAGATGGTCATCTCAGCCTTTGCCACCTGCCACACTGTGGGAAATGCTGGCTTGTGTTTTTTCCTTTTACTGTTACATACTTGGTGTGAAATGTGGTGTATTGAGAGTGAGTATCAATCATTAAAACAGGATTTTTTCCACCAGTTACCTGATGTTCTTGGTTTAAATAGAATTATTTCAAATTATTTCCATTCTTTGACCAGTTTTTTAGTTAGTAATTCAAGATACTGCTTTAGTTTGTTTTCATTGTAATTTTCTGGCATCTTTTGATTTACTGTCTAAATGTGAGCTTAAGTTTTGCTTAATCTGAATTATTAGGTAAGTTTTTGTTTCTCCTGCCATAATAAAAATTAGTACTTTCTCTACTCATGTAACACATGCATATAAAATACTTTTGAAAATAGCGTATAAAGAGTTAAAATTGTCATTTTTTTTTGGCTTTTTCAAAAATTACAAGTGCCTGGAATAATACAACTGTATAGATACATACCTTGGACCTTATTAATAAAACAGCCCATTCTGCCTTCTAGAATTCAAGAATTACAGATTTTTCTAGTGTGGGGTTTATATTTATAAAAACAATTGCTTCCAGGAATTTTCCTGGCTAAGCTAATTTTTAAAGAGATCCCTGTACGTTTCACTACCCTTTTTTTTTTTCTTCTTGAGACAGTTTTTCCTCTTTTTCCCAGGCTAGAGTGCAGTGGCGTCATCATAGCTCATTACAACTTCAAATTCCTGAGTTCAAGCAAGCCTCCTGCCTCAACCTTTGTAGGCTTGGACTACAGGTGTGCACCACCACCCCCAGCAAATTTTTGTTTTTGGTTTTTTTTTTTTTTTCTTTTTTTGATAGAGACAGGGTCTTGCTCTTGCTCTTGCTCAGCCTGGTTTCAAACTCCTAGCCTCAGTCAATCCTCCCGCCTTGGCCTCCTGAAGTGCTGTGATTACAGGCGTGAGCCACCTTGCCCAGCATAAATTTCACTCTTTAACTTTTTTTATGCTTTGGAATCATCATGAGTCTGAAAGTTATCCACTCTTCCCCATAGAAAGTAGTGTCTCTGCCTTGAATAGATGACTTTCAAGTATCTTAAATTGGAGTAATTTCCCCTTGAAGACTATGTTGATATAAAAGATCTTAAATGGAGAATAATGACTTTGCCTTTTGGTATTACTTGAGTATAAACTGTCCTTTGGAAGCAAATTATGCTACAAGAATTCATACTTCCATCTTTGGAAAAGGGATTATTAAAAAAACTTTTATAAAGTCATTCATGTCAGTATGAAAATGCAATTTGGTCAGAACACAGACAACTTGGACGTGAACTCTGGAGGGTGAAGTAAGATCCACAGTTACTTGAGCGGTTGGTTTTGATGGGAAGCATTTCAGGGTAGTACTCTCTCCAGTATAGGGTTTTGTTTATTTGAGATGGTGCTCTTTTAAGGAATCATCAGTATATAAATACTTTTGGTTTTTTTCTTGTTTATCTGCCATATTCTAAAGATGGTAAGACAGATGGACTTCAGGACTCCAGCTGCACCTGCTGTGTAAAACTAGGTGGTTAGCATTCCCAGTTAATCTTCAGAAATAATGCAATAACTTATTAATATATGTGTATTTGTTGAAAGCTGTTGTCAGACTTTTAAGTGATCCTGATTAGAAAAGAATGCCAGTCCCTTCCATGAATGAAAAGTTCATCTTGTTAGTAATTGTTTTGCTTGGAGTTCCAGAGTCTTGAGGGGTGGCAATGTGAGTTAAAAAACTGACCCAATAACCTTCAGTTTCACAGTTGGGAAAACAGTTGCCGCAAGAAGTAGGCTGTAGTAATACCGGGTCTTACATGCTAAATTGACGTCAAGGTCCTGTTAATCAAAGGTATATTGCTGATCTTAGAGTCTCATTGATAATGTGTAGTTAATTTAATGTAAAATCACTTAATAGGAAAAATATATTGTGATTTAGTTTAAAATTAGCAGTGAAAAATTTCTCAGCACACTTGTTCCAGGATGAATTTGATGTGGATAAAGGACCTCCACTTACTGTTCTTGTTGAGCAGGATGAAAAACAGGCTAGCGGAGGGTGGATGTGACCAGCAGGTTTGTTAAGCAATAGATGTTAACTAATTGCTTGGAACTTGAGATTCAAGAAATAAAACGTTTGCCAGGAGTAAAATTTTAATTTCGTTCCTTCCAGTTTAGTTAGATATGTACATTTGTTTTTAAAATTTGGCCAGGATGACGGAACATGCCTAATTCAGATATGAAGTGATTGTTTTTTCTTGAATCCCTAAAGATGTGACATCTTAGAAATACTATCTGGGCCGGACGCGGTGGCTCACGCCTGTAATCCTAGCTCTCTGGGAGGCCGAGACAGGTGGATCGTTTGAGCTCAGGAGTTCGAAACCAGCCTGAGCAAGAGTGAGACCCCGTCTCTAAAAATAGAAAGAAATTAATTGTACAACTAAAAATATATAGAAAAAATTAGCTGGGCATGGTGGCGCATGCCTGTAGTCCCAGCTACTCGGGAGGCTGAGGCAGGAGGATCGCTTGAGC